AAGCAAACTAATTCTAATTTTAAACACATAAAATGTTTAAGTCATTTTGAAAGCTACTTACAATTTCTGGGCTTGAATCTGCTTCTACAATTCACTCATTGTATAACTTTGGGAAAGTTAATTTCTTTGGATGAGCCTTGATTTTAATTATCTTGAGATATGGACAGTATGAACAAGCTTGTAGATTACATGCTTAGGAAATAGCAGCTTAAAAAAATTTCCACTTAACATGATTTGTATTTATCTTTTCCAGGTGAATGAGCTCCAGAGTTTGTCAAGTCCAGAAATTTTTGTCCCTTGTGACCAGACACCTGATGGAATGATCGAGTGGTTGTCAAAATAACTGGTCACTTCTATGCATCCCAGATAAGTGGCCTCTTAAGCAATGTGATAACCCAGGTTTTTGCTTTCTACTCCTCCAACAGGAAACAACTCTCCTGGGTGTCCAGCCCTCAAATAAAGGTTGTATGGTGCTTACTACTTACTTTTTGTTCCCATTTTAGAAAATGATTTCAGAGAGTCTACCAGCAAAGTGATGAGTATGTAGCCTTAATCTTCAAGTGAATTTCTATTTGTGGTTATTAAAATTTGGGAGTAACATAACTTTTAGTAAATTCTGATCAAGTTAAAATCGTCAAATCTATGACCCTTTGCAAGATAAAAATCTTGCCCAGAGAAAAATCCAGAAAATTCTGATTCAGGTAAAGCAACACCAACAGTGGAAAGCTCTTCAAAGTGGACCACCTTAGTTAAGAAGGAAATAAAAGCTCAGGAAATATCCCACCACAGAGTAAGTGGTACCAAACCAAAGGCAGATGGCTTAACAACAGATAGGTGCTGAAACCCTATCCAGATTCACATGCACAAGTGTTTACATAGCTCATCATTTCTTTGAGGACCAGACAACTTTGGAACTCCAGTCTCTGTGAAAATGTATACTTTATGCTCTCTAAAATGTACACTGTCATTAACCTTGACCGCTGCCTTAATGCTGTTTAATCTTTTACTTTTATACTGTTTAACATTTTACTTTTACATTCTCTCCATGGATTAATGTAAACCTTCTCGACTTTCCTAAACCTCAATCAACCCATCTTCCTCATCATTCTTAGCAAATAATCTCACATACAATTTTTCTTTTTTTTTTGGAAAATTAGAAACCACCTCCACTTACTGTCAAAGTCATAAACATAAATTTCTATTTCTACCCATAACTTCCTCCATACTCCCATTCCCCCCATCATTTAACAAATATGTAAGTAAGTACCTTTTCTGGGTCAGACACTGCTCTGGGCTGTGGCAATGTAGTAGTGAACAAAACAGATAAAGTTTACACCTTATAGAGCTTATATTCTAGTGATGGTATTAAAAATATATATAGTAGTAGCAAATGAATATGAAGTATGTTAGATGGTGCTACGGAGCCAACTACAGAAATGTAAGATGCATAGGAAATTCCGTTTCATATAGCATGCTCATGGAAGCCCACAATGACAAGATAACATTTAAACAGAGACATGAAGACATTAAGGGATCTGTAGCAACTGTATTCTAGGTTTACAGGAAATAGCAAGTTTCAAAGCCTCAGAAGTAGAAACATGCTCAACATGTTGACAGAACAACAAAGAAGCCAACATGACTACATCAGCTAAAGAGGGAAAAGTAAATCAGAGAGGTGGTTTGGGGGCCAGGCCACGTGGAGTCTTTTAAACCACAGCACAGTAGGGAATTAGGGTTTCATTCTGAGTGGGCTCAGATACCACTGGACAGTTCTCAGCAGGAGAATGTGATCTGCCTTGTGTTTTGAAAGAATCACTATAGCTGTTGAGGTCAAAAGACACAGAAGAGGGCAAGGAAAACAGTGAGGAAACCTGTTAGTTGTCTGCTGCAACTATACAGTGGGGGAGCATGAGCTCACACTGTGGCCCTATTCTGAGGTGACAGTCCTTAGAATTTGCTGATTGGTTGGATGTGGGGTATGAAAACAAAAGACTAGTCAAGCATGTCTCCAGGGTTTTGGGCTGGAACAAGTGCATGATTGGGGTTGTCATTATTGAGATGGGGAAAACTATAGGAACAGAAGGATTGGGGGAGTTGCTGGAAAAATCAGAAGTTTATTTTCAGACATGTTAAATTTGAAATGTCTAATAGATGTCAAATTGATATCTGGAAATGAGTCTGACATTTATGAGAGAGGACCATGCTAAAAATATTGATTTGTGATCCAGAGCAATGTGATAATACATAAAATGATACAGCTGGCTGAGATCAACAATGTAGATACATAAGAGAAGAGGTACCGAGATTGAGTGCTAGGACAATTACATGCTTGAGAAGTTCTGGAGATGATAAGGAATCAACAAAGGAGACCAAGAAGGAGCTATCTGCATGGATTTTGTTAAAAAAAGGAAGAATTTAGATGAGAAAGGAAATAGGAGCATGCTAGAAAAAAAAAGGAGTGGTGTACATAAGAAACGACATCTAGTTAAGAATAATTAGACTATTCAGTGGTAAGTCAGAAATTTAGACAAGGATCATAATTGCCAAACTAGAGAGACTTGCCTTTATCCTGTTGCATATGTGGAGTCACTGGATAGAAACAAGCAGGAGAGTGAAATTGCTAAATTTCGTTTTAGATGGCGTCTTCTAGTTTCAGGGAGGAGGATTCATTTTGGGGAATTATATAAGAGAAGGAAAGGAAGACTGGACACAGAAGGCCCTACATGAATGACAACTAGAAAGAACGTCTCCAACAAGAGAGGTCACTGAAGGCCTGATTTAGACAAATGATGAAAAGAAAGGTTAGGTCTAAGAAAGAAAAATTAGGAAATGAATCACCAGTCAGGCATGAATGTTGGGGGAGGTATGAGGAAAGAAAGAATTCAAGCATGGCTGCCAAACTTCGGCTTGAATGATGAGGTGGAGTGGATGTCAGTGATACTACTTGGAATAGGAAAAACAGATGAGTCAGAGTTTGGGGAAAAGGAAGATGACGATTTCAATTTGAGATGTGTTGCATTTGCGGTGGCATGGAATGATCAGAAAGGTATGTTTATAAAGTAGCTGCAGATATTGTGAAGTTCTGCAGCGTTCTGATCTAAAAATAGACTTAGGAGTTAGAAGTCTTAGTTAAACCACAGAGTGGATAAAATCACTGATGGTAGAATTCAGCAATTTCCTTCAAACCTACAACTAATAATGCCAGGATAGAGGTGAGAGAGATGATAGAAAAGAAGCAGATAGGCCTTGAGGGAGGAAAGGAAAAGAAGCAGAGGGAAGAAGGAAAAAAAGCTGTTATCTTAAGCATTCTAGGCCAAGCATGCCATTAATTCTGAGCAAATATTTTTATTTTAATATCCTTTCCCTGCTCATATAGCATATTTATTGATCTTTTTGAACATAGGTGCATTTCAAATGATGATTTTAGGAAACAATTTACAGTGTTGCCTAGAGCTTTTATTATTATTTTAAACTTATCTTACTGAATGTACACCATTAATACTAAGCAAAATTTAATGCTATTAAATAAACATTTCTCGGATTGTTGTTGTTAAGTGCTGTCAAGTCAGTTTCAACTCATAACGACCCTGTGTACAGGGTTTCCAAGGAGCAGTTGGTAGGTTTGAACTGCTGACCTTATGGTTAGCAGTCCAGTGCTTATTCTCTGGCACCACACCAGGACTCCACATACTGGATTAAGTGCCAAGAATTAAAAAATGAATAAGACATAGTCCTTTGCTCCTAGAACAATTAACCAAGATAAGAGACCCAGAAATAGTTACCCAGAATGATTTTTACAAAACGAAAATCTAACCATGGCAGTCTTTAGATTAATACCTTCTCCAGCAGAGACTACTAGTTGCCCACCAATATTCATTCTTCCCTTCTATCATGGGTAACATGGCCATCAAGAATGAAGATTTCTATTCACGGAGATGTATCAACATAACTAAGTTCTAAATGTAAGTGGAAATGTCATCAGTAACTTTCAAATGTGCCCTTAAAGAGAAAGACATTTATGTCTTCTCTTACCTATCTTCTTTATTCTGCTAGCTGGAATGTAGTCAGGATGGCTTGAACTAGAGTCACCATTTTAGGCTACGAGTTATTCCAGATGTCTGAAGAAGTAATTTTGATGGCTTTTTATTAATGTGAAGGTACCGTCGAGTTTGTGCTCAGCTGTTTTCCAGAAAATTGGTGGTTCTAGCCTACCCAGTAGAACAATGGCCTGAGAATCTGCTTCTGTAGTATTCTGTAACACATGGGGTTTGGGGTTATTACTGTTGTAAAATTACTTAGAAATGAATATTACACGTGGCAAAGCAACAAAACGGAAGTCTGAGTACCTGGCAGCTGTAGGCTATTTACAGCTTTTTGAATGTAGAGAAGATTAGTTAAGCCATGATTTTGTTGCTGTTTCTAATGCCTGACAGTTAACAAATACATCTTTGGTGTTGTTAGAGATGTCAAGTCAATTTCAACTTATGGTGTGTGTAGAACAGAACAACTCCATAGGTTTTCCAAGGCTCTGATCTTTCAGAAGCAGACTGTCTGGCCTGTCTTCCAAAGCACTTTTGTGGGGGTTCAAAAGTCAACCTTTCAGCTAGTAGATAGACACTTAACCATTTGCACTACCCAGAGATGGTATAATGCATCTTTAATGTGACATTTATAATAGAAGTATACCAACCTTCCAGTTCTATCTATCCACATATATATTTTTTTGTCTTTTCATCCATCCAACCATCCTGATGTCTGACTTTAAAGAACTCATAATGGGTTAAATACTAAAAATGTAATATTCCTCTGGTGTAAAAATACTCTTGATCGAGTCAAAAATCAAATATCTATTAACAGACTCATTAATTTAAAAAAAAATAAAATTCAAAGAATTGCCAACTTCAGTAAATTTACAATAGTGATAACCTCAAACACCATGAGTTACAGAATCAGACAGATTTTCAGGCCATTGTTCCACTGGGTAGACTAGAACCACTCACCTTCTTGAAAACAGCTGAATACAAACTATTTTCACCTTCACATGAATAAACAGACACAAAAATCATTTTTCAGACATCACTATTACCAATTTCCATCTTTATTATTTTCAACTTTGCTAGTACTTTAATTGATAATTTCCAATTATAAATAATTTAATTTATAATTTCCAACTTTGCTAGTACTTTAATTTCTTTTTTGTTTTAATTTTTAAAATTGTGAACTGAGTGATTGCTTACATGGGACAACACTGGCTTTACAACATTGTTTCATTGCAATAATCACCCATCTCCTCCATGCATCATCATTCAACAGTATTTGCTTCCATTCCATCTGTTTTTGTTTTTTGTTTTTGTTTTTTTTTTTTGAGAGGGTAGAGTGGGAGGATGTACACAAAAAACACTCAGGAGACTGGCTTACAAGCTTTCAAGAGGGAGTCTAGGGGGAAGGGGGAAGGTAGAATCTCCACTGAGTGGTTTCCAACTTGTCTGGATGGGGCTGGTGAAAGAAAATGGGGATAAGACTCTTGTGGTTCAATAGTGAATAATTGCTATCAGGACTGATTGTGAGTGTTGCAAATGTAAAGGTAGATGTTTTGTAACAAAAGGAAGGGAGTGGTTGATCTTGTAGTTCAGGAGTGGAGAACCCTGGGACCATCAAAGGAGAAGAGCAGAGTGCAAGACCCTACCAAGAGAAGCAGTGACACCAGAGATGAAAGCAGAGACGATGACGTGGAGAGATGGGCTCAGGAGGGAGAGGGGCAGTGCACTGACAGCCAGGGG